GGACTGTCAAATAGATTGCCGCAGATATCTGGGGGTTGCCGCAGCCTTCTCCACCACCTACGCCAGGTTGTGCAGACAAGAGAAAAGAAGAAAAAAAATAAAAAGACAAAGAGGGAGGGAGAGAGAGCTGATTGACTGAAGCTGTAGTCTTCCTCTCTCCTTTATTAGTGGTGCTCTGATACCATGTGAAAATAGTCCAGTCGAACAGAGATAGAAAAAAGAGAAGGGAGAGAAGAAGAAGAAGAAGAGGAGAAAAGTAACTGAGAAGACTAAAAGTTTCACCTAGTCGGCCATATATTTATATTTATCAAAACAGTATACAAAGTAAAAGATGCCCCTACTTATGTATGGGACATATAATTAACATATTACTTAAATGGAAAAGACTAGAATACCCCTCTTTAGCGGACTCTAACATAGCTGATTGTAGCAAAACAGAGATGTGTTGAGGAAGAAAGGAATGATTGCTGTTAACCACTGTTGTTTAGGTGGGGAGGATGAGGAAACTGCTAAACACCTCCTTATTTTCTGCAGCTACTCTCACAGGAGTCTGTTTGGTATGCACTGGGTTAGCCCCCTGGACCTTGGTGGGTTAGCCCCCTCTCACAGGAGTCTTATGGTCAGGCTTTTTCTAAGAAGGCAAGGTTCTGTGGAAAGCTTCTACTTTGGTGGTTTGTTGGTGCATCTGCAGAGAGAGGAACAACTGCTTGTTTGAAGATAAGGCTGGTTCCCCTGAGAAAGTGTGTGCAGTTGCTGAGAAAACCTTGGTGAAATGGGCTTCCATTAGTCATCTTTTTAGGGGTTTCATTCTAAGCATTTTGTTGATCACTGGAATACTATTTTGTGGGAAGATGATTTCTCGGTGTAATCTCTAGCCTGTTGGCTACTTCCTTGTATTCAGCTTTGGAGGAAATATCCCCCTCAACATTCTTATCTTATCCTTCCTATTAATAATATTCACCATTCTCAAAAAAAAAACCTGTTTGGATAAGATATGCCTCTGATCAGTCTTGGCATTTAGAACACATTATGAGTCCAGGGTCTTAGATTAAACAGTGAATATTTCACTCAGATGGGTCCCATGGTCCAACTAATTCATGGTAGACTGTTCAACCAGGGAGGGATTAGGAGAAAGTTGTGTTGGGGACAAGCAGTGCTTATATGCTCAGCTTTCTCTCTGTATTTCTATAGGATTTTTCTGCCATTAGTCAGAAAGCATAAAATGGCATGAGAAGATGTGATAAAAACACAAAAAGATGTATTGGGATTAGATTCTCAGTTACCTTGTTTCTTTTGGTTAATGATTTAGGATTCTATTTTCTTTACTCTTGGCTCTTGCACAACTGGTCATTTTATTGCTATTTATTTGAAAATATACTAAGAGATGGTATTTTCAACTTATAAGATTTTGAAATTGTTCACATTGAATATCTTTCAGGGGGATGTTGGATGCGGGAAAACAGTGGTTGCCTTTTTGGCCTGCATGGAGGTTATTGGCTCAGGTTATCAGGTTTAGCGTTGTAGAACCTTTGTTGCTTTGATTGCTCATTTTTGAGTTGTCATGACATTCTAATTCTGGTTTTTCTCCTGAATTGTCTTAGTTTCTTAAACTCTCTGTTTGAAATGCACTTCCCTAATGCTTATATCTGCTTGCATCTCATCTGTAGGCAGCTTTCATGGTTCCAACTGAACTACTTGCTATCCAGCACTATGAGCATTTTCTTTCTTTGCTGGAGAATATGGAGGAGGATCAGTTTAAGCCATCTGTTTCTCTACTTACAGGTTCAACATCATCAAAACAAGCACGGATAATCCGTCAGGCATGCATTATCATGTGTTCATCCCCTTTTTTTTTGTGTTTTTCTCTCTGTTCTTGCCTGTAAATTTAGTTACATTTTATGAATGACTTTGCTGGTTGACAGGGTCTGCAATCTGGAGATATCTCACTAGTCATTGGAACCCACAGCCTAATAGCTGATAAAGTGGATTTTTCAGCATTGCGTATTGCTGTGGTTGATGAACAACATCGCTTTGGTGTGATCCAGAGAGGAAGGTTTAACAATAAGGTTGTCCTATTCTTGCTTTTGAATTCCAAGCATGATGACCTTGTTTTTTTTACTTCTCTCATAAGTTGTTCACTCTTACATAAGAGTTTTCTTGGATGATATCTTCTTAGTGAAAGGAAACTGACTTTAAGCTTTGTTATGCCATGTAAAGTTGTATAAAATAAAAATTGCAATGGTTAATGTTAGGTGGTATTTCTTATGAAAAGTTGACTGCTAGTAGTGAGTATTTTTATCTGATTATTGACAGATCTTTAGGAAAAGGGAAATTTATTGATCAGGGGACTTACCCCTGAGAGACCAATTTCCCTCTTTGTTTGCTTTGTCAGGTTTGAAAAATGAACCCATTTCCTCTTTCTTAGTTCCTTCTGATTCATCTCTGCTAGCCATCATTGAAAATGTTTTCTTGAACCCCAGTAAGGAAGACACCAGAATCTGGACCCCTTCCTCCTCCGACTTCTCTTGTGCTTCGTTTTTTGAGACATTAGTTCAACCTACTACTCCTCTTGGGTTGTCATTCCCTGTTAAAGAGATTTGGAGCAAACCCATTCCTCCTCGGGTTGGTAGTTTTTGTTGGGAAATTTTCCTGGAAAGAATTAACACAATTGACTTCCTTCAAAGAAAGAGGTCCAATTGTTGTTTACCTCCCAATAGGTGTATTCTTTGCAAAGCTGATGGGGAAACGGGTTACTAAGACTTTTTGGGAGTGGGTGCTTTTCCTTTTTGGGTGTACTCGGAATCCTCCCGTGAGTGTGCAATGCTTGTTCTCTCCCTCGTTCTTTAGATGGCCTAAGAAAAGGGGGAAGGTTATGTGGAGAAGCATTAGGGCTGCAGTGTGCTGGTCAATATGGGAAGAAAGAAACTCACGAATTTTTTCAGACAAGGAAAGAACCACAGAAAACCTAATAGACTTGATACACTTAAGGGTAGCTCACTGGCTGANTTCAGACAAGGAAAGAACCACAGAAAACCTAATAGACTTGATACACTTAAGGGTAGCTCACTGGCTGAAATCAATGGAGATATTCTCTGAATTTTCTATGGCTGACTTGTTGAGAAAGTGGAAAGAGGTAGCTACTGCTGCTCTTTGTAAGAGGACCTATAGACCCTCTTGGACCCCCCTCCTGCTGGATTCATAAAACTGAATTTTGATGGATGTAGCTTAAGGAATCCAGGGCCTTCTGCGATTGGGGGTGTGTTTAGGAATGAGGAGGGGTATATTATTGTCATTTTCTATGGGTCAATTGGAGAGGGTGACTCTCTTAGGGCCAAAATTCTAGCAGTTCTTGAAGGAATCCAAAGAGCAAGAGAATTCAGCATCAGATGCTTAGTTATTGAGGGGGACTCGGAGGTGAGTGATTAGGTGGCTGAAAGGAGACAACAGTGGTTTGTGGAGCTACAGCAATGAGAAGAAAAAATTTAAATGGCTGAGTAAGGATTTAGAGGTGAAATACAGATGGGTGAAGGGAAGTGCTAACTCAATGGCTAATGGGTTAGCTAAGCAAGGGGTGGCTAAGGGTTCTTTGTTTTGGGCTAATTTTTAGTTTCTTCTTTGTCCTTTTGTTGTTGGGGAGTTAAGATAGTTTACCTCCCCTATTCTGTAATTAAATTTCACAAATATTATTCATAAAACTTTCTGTTATTGATCAAAGAGAAAAGAGAATATCACAATACATAGCAGTAATCAACCCATCTAATTGGTTAACATCTCTTTTCTAAAAGTGAATAATGACTTGCTGATAACCTGCTACAGTTATTGGACCTTTTCTGAACGGAATCGTGTTTCTTTTGCAATAACAATACATTAAACTTCTAATCGCCTTTCCTTGAACAGAAAGGAACTAAATACTTTTCTAATTTCTTTTGGGGATTGTTGGTATCGCTATGTTTGACACAGATGTGTTTTGTTGCTAGCTGGCAATTGCACATTAAACAATTCAGTATCATTCTGAACCAATATTGTAAAGGAATTGTTTGTGAACACATCTGATTTTGCATTGGATAGATTGGCTCTTACCTGTTTATATATGACAATGGAAATACCTAAATTTCTGACAAGTAGGGAGGCACATGGAATGGCATTAATAGTGGACCTAAAAGATAGAGATCTGCTTTAAGTAGATTTTCTGTGTTCACTCCCCTGTTCCATCCAAGTCAGGTATCCGCATTATGTAGTAGTAGATGTCCAACTAATATTTGCTTCTCTTCACCGAGTATTGTAGTTTCAGGACTGACAAATTAACTATTGAGTATCGACAGAAATCCAACTTACAAAAATGTAGAAGTTATGGAGTAATTTGTTTATAACCTCTGACTATTGCAACTTGCTTAATGTGACCCTTATATGAATCCCTTAACTGTCAGTAATGTACCTCCATTTGCAATATTGAGGTTTCTGTTTTGCTGTTATCCCCCTTCCTCTTTTTTATATAAGGCCCTTTATTCTTTTCCTATTGTAGTTGTACAATCTGTTGTTTCCTTGACTCCTGATGGCTTAATAACATTGTTATATTGTTGTTGAGAATTTCTAATTGGTATTTCATGTAAAATTCTATTAAAGGAATTTTGGGAATTGGGAATATTTGAGGTTTCATTTAATCTGGCACTGTGTAAATTTTGTGTTGAAGATTAATCAGTTTTATGATGTTTTTTATGAGTAGATGTTTTATGTTAGTTGTTAGATAGGAGGTGGGGA